ATGAGACAAGTCAAAGAAATGACTTGCGAAATGATTTTGCGATATGGGTCGATTAACAATAGTGTCACTTGCAAATTGAGAGACGACTGAAGTTGAGGGCAGAAGTGGGGTGAAGAATTGGAAAGGGGAGTTTGGCCAGGTTTGGAAGAAACAGGGAAAGGAAACCACAGAAAAGATCTTAGGTTATTGTGGAGGCCAGTGGCTCTGGACACAGAAAGGAAAAGTGTGGTGGAAGGGGGATACTTGCATGGATTGCAAGGGTGAGTTTCTAACACTTGGATCTCACAGGTTATGGAGAGCACCCCCTTAAGGGGTGGATTGAACCGAGTACACCTTCAATGTAGAAATCTGCAGGAATTCCTAGGGGGTCTGAGCCCTGGGATATTGGACCGATTATATGGGCACCCTGCCACCTGCCTGGCAGTCTTCAGGTGAGTTCCCCCTTTCTGGCAGGAAACATGGTGGGAAAATGTAATGTGACCTGCAGACTTGACCAAGTTATCCTGGGCAGAAGCTCAGCCTGGGTTACTTGGAGATTAAAGTGTGTAAGGCCAAAACAGGTGGAGTTTGTGGGGCCGCAAGACTGGTAACAGTTTGTGGGTGAAATGAGATTTTGAGAGGCCACTGAGGGCAGAGTGCAGATCTAAGTCATTTCTGATACTGACATTTTACCTCTTTCTGTTTACAGAGAGCTCCCATCTCTGGCCAAGAACTGGGTAATGCGGATGCTCTTTTTGGAGCAGCCTTTGCCACAAGCTGCTGTGGCCCTGTGGGTGAAGAAGGAGTTCAGCAAGTGAGTCTCTGCTGCTTTCTCAGCCAGATACTTATTTCCCAACAGCTAGATTCTCCAAACTGCTTGAGTCCTTGGAATACTTCCAGACAATATTATTGGGTACACAAAACTTGTAAGTAAATTTGGGAAACTCTACATACTGGATTTTCCTTCTTGGAGAGTTGTGAGGTCTATAAGAAGGCTCTGGTGGGCATTGCAGTAAAAAAAAATCCGCCTCAAGAAGACTAAAGTGAGTTTACTTTGTGGAAGTGTTCCAAGGATCACCCTTTTAGCAAACACAAATATGGAGGACTCTGTGGGCTTCCTTTTTTGTGCTTCAGTCATCCCACCCACCTTTCTGCTTCGTTCTAGAGCCCAGGAAGAAAGCACAGGGCTGCTGAGTGGCCTCCGTATCTGGCACACTCAGCTGCTCCCTGGTGGGCTTCAGGGCCTCATCCTCAACCCCGTTTTCCGCCAGAACCTCCGCATTGCGCTTCTGGGTGGGTATGTCACCTCCATCTCTTCCTAAGCGAGGCCAGGGGACCTAGTAATTACACTGCTGGAGGGGAAGCTCCTTTGGGCCCTCCCTGGAAACTGGTGGACTCCACCTTTGGGAACTGCTTTAGGAATAAGTAGGACCAGATGTAACTGCATATCTCCCATTTGTATGGGATGAGGGTGGAATGAAGGCAGAGGGGCTGGCAAGGAACACCAGCAGGGCTCCTCACTCCTGCCCTATCCTGAACTCAGGGGGAAGGCCTGGTCTGATGACACAACTCAACTAGGACCAGACAAGCATGCCCGGGATGTGCCCTCTCTTGACAAGTATGCCGAGGAGCGATGGGAGGTGAGGACCTGGGACTCCGTGTGTGGCTCTGCTAGTGTTCCTGTTGCCCATGGCCCTTAGAGGCACTCGCCTCTGTTCTCTTCTGTTCCTCAGGTGGTCCTGCACTTTATGGTGGGCTCCCCCAGCGCAGCTGTCAGCCAGGACTTGGCTCAGCTCCTCAGCCAGGCTGGGCTCATGAAAAGGTAAGGAGGCCAGAGGTACAACAGCCCCCCATTTTGCTATCTCCTTGCATCCCTGCTATCCTGTTTCCAGGGCAGGTCAGGATTGGAGAGGGTTGATTGAAAAAGGAGAGCTGACCGGAGTACAGCCAGATAGACCAAGAAAAAAGGGTCAGGACAAGTGGGATGGTGGCCTTGCCTGGCATGCTTCCACTGTCGGCCCTCTACATCTCTAGCGCCGAGCCCGGAGAGCCGCCCTGCATTACCTCTGCCGGCTTCCAGTTCCTGCTGCTGGACACGTCTGCCCAGCTCTGGTACTTCATGTTACAGTATCTGCAGACAGCCCAGGTGAGGCCAGGGCTGCTTGTTGGCGTGCTCTGCTCGTCTCGGGATGCACCAGAGACGCTGCCTGCAGGGTCTGTTCCCTGATGTTCTCTCCTCTGTTCCTCTCCATTTTCTCCCTTTCATCCCTTCCCCTTTGATCTCTGCTCCTTCCTTCCTAGAGTCGGGGCATGGACCTGGTGGAGATTCTCTCCTTCCTCTTCCAACTCAGCTTCTCTACTCTGGGCAAGGTAAGTGGGGGCTGGAGCTGGGGGCTTGGGTGGGCAAGCTGACGGGTAGGGAGGTGGGACAACAGAGTGAATGCTAAGCGTGAACAAAGTGAACCAGAGGTGGGGAGAGAGACTGAGTGTAACAGGATTGGGAGATGAGAATGGGCTGTTTTGGGCTGATCACTGCTTTTCCTCAGGATTACTCTGTGGAAGGTATGAGTGATTCCCTGTTGAATTTCCTGCAACATCTGCGTGAGTTTGGGCTTGTTTTCCAGAGGAAGGTAGGAACACCCAGATACCTGGCATCTAGGGAAGAGGCAGGGTGCATTGCTATGGCCTTTGAAAAGGAGTGGGGTCACGGGAAGCAGTTGCCAGGACGGAAGACTTGTGTGCCTGGGGGGCAGAAGCTGCACACCAAGGCTCTGTGCTCTGGGAGGGATCTGATGTCTCAGGTAGGAAGATGTAGAGCAGTGACACCTGAGGGTGCTCTACCTATCTGTTCTTTCCAGAGGAAATCTCGGCGTTACTACCCCACACGCCTGGCCATCAACCTCTCTTCAGGTGTTTCTGGTGCTGGGGGCACTACGCATCAGCCAGGCTTCATTGTCGTGGAAACCAATTACCGACTATATGCCTACACGGGTGAGGCTGGACAGCGGGCCCTTGGCTGGATGGGAATGGAGCGGGGGAGGAAGTCAGTAACACATGCCAGTGTATATTCACGTTTATTTGGCAGTTTATAGAGCTCTGCCATTTCTCCTCACAGTTGGAGGAAGGGCTGGAGGAAGTCTGGGTAAGGGCCAGATCTTCATCCTTTCTTTCTATCCCTGGGTCAGAGTCAGAGCTGCAGATCGCCCTCATTGCCCTCTTCTCTGAGATGCTCTATCGCTTCCCCAATATGGTGGTGGCCCAGGTGACCCGGGAGAGCGTGCAGCAGGCCATCGCCAGTGGCATCACCGCCCAGCAGGTAGCTCTCTTTGGGGGTGGGGAGGGCAGGAAGACAGGCTGCACTTGGGCTGCCTGTCATTTTATAAGCCTATCACTGTAGTTGGTGGTGACTATCGGAACACAGACCTGGTTGGTGAGAAGTCAAGGCTCTAGGTGTGGGTACAGGCAGACTCCTAAAGGGTAGAACATGGAGGAGGTATAGCTCTGGATGATGTTTTAGCACTGCCTCTTCCTAGCTGCATAAATGGTCTAGCTGCTTCACTTCTCTGAGCCTCAATTTCCTTATGTGGAGCAGGGAAACAGAGTTTGCACTTCACAGAGTTGTTGGGGACTTTCAACAACAGAACAGAGGCAAGCATTTAGCTCAGAGTTGGCCAGGTAGTTGTACTTAAAAAAATAATGGTTGTTGGTATTTTAAAGAAAGAAAAAACAAATGTGCCAGGGAAGGAATAGCAGACAAAAGCTGAATGGGGATGGGGTGAGTTGATGACAGGCATTTGGCTGTGAGCTTTAACAATAGGTTGATGCCGCGGTGACGTTAAGTGACATCTTAGGTAGCTCCCTGGCCTCTTACTTCAGCTCCTGATCCCATCCTTGTCTTTTCCCTAGATCATCCATTTCCTAAGGACAAGGGCCCACCCCGTGATGCTCAAACAGGTAAATAGTTGCCAGGGGCCCACAGCCCCTGGCACCTGGCAGTGAGGTGATGGGAAAGAGAAAAGGGCATCCAGGATGAGGGCTGAGATTGTCTGAGGTAGTATTCCTGACTCTTAGAGCCGTCCCTTGCACCTGCAGACACCTGTGCTGCCCCCCACCATCACCGACCAGATTCGTCTCTGGGAGCTGGAAAGGGACAGGCTACGATTCACGGAGGGTGAGTGGATACTGTAGATTTATTCTTGATCATTAGCTAGAGAAAGGATAATTGTCTTGATAAGCTGGAAAAAGCTATTATGCCTTTTACATTTTGCTTACTGCTTGGGCTGGGAGAGAAAAGCTGGGGTGGGCATATAAACCGTCTCAAATCAGTGCAATTTGGATTTAGCTAGAAGAGGGAGAATTAATTCGTGTGGTGCGCATTAATGGCGTAATATATTGGCTCTGAAAGTGGCTGGGTCACACGGGGTCAGGATGCGCCCTGGCACAGGCAGGCATCGAGGGGTAGCGTGTAACTGCGGGGGGCTGCCGGCCCGACCACTGCCCAGGGCTCGGCCCCTCACGCCCCGCCCTGTCTCTCCCGCGCCGACCCGCGGCCCCAGGCGTCCTGTACAACCAGTTCCTGTCGCAAGTGGACTTCGAGCTGCTGCTGGCCCACGCGCGGGAGCTGGGCGTGCTGCTGTTCGAGAACTCGGCCAAGCGGCTGATGGTGGTGACGCCGGCCGGGCACAGCGACGTCAAGCGCTTCTGGAAGCGGCAGAAGCACAGCTCCTGAGCCGCCTGCGGCCGGACTCGGGCGGGCGGGAGCTGGCGGGCGGGCCCAGCCGGCGTGCGCAGGGGGCGGCCCCGAACTCAGGTGTTTTTTACTCACGCAGCGGACTCTTGTTTAATAAAGTTGTGGAAAGAAGCCACGCGGGCCCGGCACCCCTCGCGGGGCTTCCCTCCGCGGAGAACGCGCTCCTCGGGCCGGGGCGGCCATTGGCCCGCGGGCGGGGGCGGGGCGTGGTCAGGCGCCGCGCATGCGCCCTGCCGGCCCCGCCCCCTGCGCCGCGCGCAACCTGGGTCACGTCCCGGGTCGGGTTCGCAGGTTCCCCCAGTCCCTGCAGCCGGCGCCGCGGGGCGCCCCGGGACAGCGGCGGGTGAGCGCGTGCTGGGCGGGTCCCGGGAGGTGGGCGGCTCTGCGGCGGTGGGCCGGGTGGAAAGCCGGGCGCGCGGGCCTGGGGCCCATGCGGGCAACTCTACAAGTATGGGCGGGCCGAGATCTCGGGGACCCGGGCGGCACTTCTTGCAGGTTCTTGCAGGCTCTCGGGCGCGTTGTCTTCATCTCCCTGAATTCCTCAATCCTTTTCCCTCCTTGCTGGCAGCGGCCACCCTCATGTCGCCCAAGCATAAGTTGAGGGCCAGAAACCTCGACCCTGCCCCCAGAAGATCGCCGTGGCTCCAGGGTCTTGTCCTGGTGGACACCATGCACTCTCGTTCTCAAGGGGGAAGGGTTGTGTGGGAGGCAATACATACTTTGAATAACAGACCTGTGTCTATAGGAGGCTTGGGATGAGAAGCAAGGTGTGATTTTAGGGGGTGTGACTTTCCCTCACCTTCATGAAGCTCCTAATGTGCTCTATCTGGAACAGATCTTTCCTTCCCAGCCACTCTTGATGCCTCATTTGCCTCTGGCTGCTTTTCGACTACCACTTTGGGGGCTGAGGCCCTCATGGGGCCTCCCCAGGTCCCAGTCCCTTGCCACTCAGTCAGAGCCCTATGGATCCCCCATCTCCCGGAGGAACCATGAAGCCAAACAGAAGCGCCTTCGGGAGAAGCAGGCTGCCCTGGAAGCTGGGACAGCCAGGAAGAGCAAGGTTAGGGACCTGACATCTTGTCATTGGGTGTCTGAGATGACTTGGGAGGGGGCTGGAGAAGAGACTGAATGGATTCCCAGAGGCCTGGGATATACTGAGTTGTATCCCCACATTCTGGTTCTTTAGTCACCTGCAGAATCCAGTAAGACCTGGGCTCCTAAGGAGATAGTGTTGTATGAAATCCCCACAGAACACGGAGAAAAGAAAGGTAACTAGGAAATGGAAGACTTTCTCTTTCACATTTTTGCAGCCCTTTAGGGAACAAAGCTAAGGAGTTCTCTTCTGCCTCCGCAGATGTCTCCCAGCTCCTGCCTCCTGCTTACAGCCCCCGCTATGTTGAGGCTGCCTGGTACCCTTGGTGGGTGAGAGAGGGCTACTTCAAACCAGAATATCAGGTTAGTGCCTAGAGGGAAGGGCACCAAATACAGGATGGCCTGTAAGGTTGGGCACAACTGATTCTGGGTCTGAAGCTCATAGACAGCCACATTGAGAAGCTTGCAGAAGAAGAAAAAAAAAAGAAGAAAGTCAGCGAGAGCAGTGAGAGCTGCTCCTGGTATCCAATGCTTTCTCCAGTCAGGTTTCCTGCTTCCCTGTTACTTGCCAGTTCTTTCCTGCAGTTCTTTCTCCTTGGGAGACACCAGAGGGTGCTATTCCCCCAGGAAACATCCAGTGCTCTCTTGCCCTTTGACTTTTCTCCTTTCTTCTAGACCAGGCTGCCCCAGGCCACAGGGGAGACCTTTTCCATGTGTATCCCACCTCCCAATGTCACTGGCTCCCTACACATTGGCCATGCGCTGACGGTGGCCATCCAGGATGCCCTCGTGCGCTGGTGAGAGGAGAATGGGACTGCTTGATGTCTTGGAGGGGCAGTAGAAGGTGTGGGAAGGAGTCGAGGATAAGCATGTAAGTGCTGGGGGGGGTCACATGAGCTATTTCTTTCACAGGCACCGGATGCGTGGGGACCAGGTGCTGTGGGTCCCTGGCTCAGATCACGCAGGAATTGCTACCCAGGTATGTCGTTTGCTCTTCCCTTTTCTTGGGTAAAAGAGATTTCTCACAAATTGACCTCATTCGGATACCCCCTAATCTCACCATAGGCTGTGGTAGAGAAACAACTTTGGAAGGAGCGAGGAGTGAGGAGACATGAGCTGAGCCGGGAAGACTTCCTTCAGGAGGTGTGGAAGTGGAAGGAGGAGTAAGTATGAGGGAAGAAGGAGGGGAGGGGGCCGGATGGCAGGTTGGAGTCCCTGCTTCCCAGCCTGCTTTCCAGTGTGTGGTTGATGCTCTTCCCATCCAGTTCCAACTTCCCTTGGAGATGTGAGCTCTGGAATCCCTTGAGCATTTTATGGGGCCTCTCAACTTTGTGTGTTACATAGCTCAAAACATGTGTATTTATGTGTATACGTACACATAAACACGCATAGGCGCACCTTGGAGTTACTGCACGTTCATTTCCAGACTATTGCAATAACACAAATGTAATAAAGTTGAGTCACACAAATTATGAAAAGTTGTGTTTACAATATGCTGTAGTCTGCTAAGTGTATTACAGCGTTATATCTAAAAAAAGTACATGCCATTAAAAAATACTCTTGCTAAATAATGCTAACCATCTTCTGAGCCTTTAGGAATTGTATATTTTTGCTAGTGGGGGGTCTTGTAAAAAATGCAAAATCGGATCCTTTTCTGGTTCATAACTTGATGATTGGGTGTTCAGACCACTGTATGAGATGTGCCTCCCGTAAACCTTGTTATGACGTCGGCACGTTACCCTTCTGTTGCGGAAAAAAAAGCAACATCTATGAAGCACAGTAAAGCGAAGCTTAATAAAACGAGGTGTGTCATACACACGAGTGTGTTTTCTTTCTCTTTTTTCCCCACATATCCCATTTTCCCTTGCCAGGACTTCATCATCTGTCCTACTCACCTCCTACCTTTGCTTGAAATTACATTTATCTTCCAGGTGGTTATGGTATGCCATCTTCTCTGTAAAGCCACTTTGGGCTTCCCACAGATGGCTGCCCCATTCAGTTACTGTCTAACTTCACGGGACTTTTATGTCATAGGAGGCCCCACAGTGGGTTCCATTAGTTTCTAGAGGCTAGATCCATGCCACACTGTCTTGCACCTGGCATTGCTGGAGCAGCACCAGGCCTGGCGCACAGATGGTGGTTGGGACATGTTTGCTGACAAATATCTCTCTGGCCCCAGGAAAGGTGGAGAGATCTGCGAGCAGCTCCGAGCTCTGGGGGCCTCCCTGGACTGGGACCGAGAGTGTTTCACCATGGATGCTGTGAGTGTCCACGCCTCGGGCCCTGTCGGTGTCAGGAGAGTGGGAATGCCTGGGCCCTGACTGGGGTTACGGGCTGAGGAGAGGCTATTGGATGTGGACACTCAGGTCATTTTAGGGCTCCTCAGTGGCTGTGACTGAAGCTTTCGTGCAACTCTACAAGGCAGGGTTATTGTACCGGAACCGGCAGCTTGTCAACTGGTCATGTGCTTTAAGATCCGCCATCTCAGATATTGAGGTGAGTGGGAGAGGGAGACAAGACTGTGAATGCTTTGGGGTGAAAGCCACACTGCCTGGGTTCACAGCAAGACCTTAACTTTAGGGCTGTGGCTTCTGGTAGACTGTTAGCCTCTTTAAGCCTCAATTTCCTCAATCTGTAAATTAGGGATGATGGAAGTGCATGCATGCATGCTAGGGTTGTTATGAGGATTAAATGAGAACCCATGGGAGGTGGTCAGCACGATACCCGTGTGGGGTTTAAATGCTCAGTGGATATTTATGTTACCCACTTGCACAAGAACTGGGCGAGGAGAGAGGAAGATGGCTTTTCAGTCTTCTGAATGGCATTTAGATGGGCTGCAGGGAGGCCCCTGGGGATGGATCAGTGGAGGTCGGGACCCCCAGGAGTGAGCTTGCTGCTCTCTAACCCTGCTTCCCTGATGTCTCCAGGTGGAGCACCGGCCCCTGCCTGGACGCACGGAGCTTCGGCTGCCTGGCTGCCCCAACCCTGTGTCTTTTGGCCTGCTTGTTTCTGTGGCCTTCCCCGTCGATGGAGAGCCTGGTGAGAGCAGTCTTCTGAAAGGTCTCCTATCCTTAGCTTCCTTTCTTCTCGGGCTTGTGTTGGGCTGATGGGAACCCACCATCCTAGTGCCCACAGGACCTGGTCGGGGGGCATAAGGAAGCTTGCTGGCATTTGCATCTTGTGGGTGCTCAGCCTTGGCATTCTGAGTCATGTAAGAGAAGTATACTTGGGCACTGCCCTCTGGGAGCTTAGTGTGATTCAGCAGGAGACTGCTGCCCAGGGAGAAACAGATCAGTTCCGGAATGTGTGTTGAATAGTAAGTGTTCTGAAGAGAAGGGGAAGACAGAACAGCTGGAATGGTCAGAGGAGTTTCTTGCAGGAGGGGCTGGTGCTTGGCCTGAAGAATGCACAGCATTTGTGAGGAAGCCCCGAGAATCCCTGGCGTCATCTGGCCCCAAGCAGAGATTTGAGCTGCTTTTATTAATGCTACACCTGTTTCTCCTGTGCAAGATGTCCAGGAGTTCTCAACGAGGCGCCCCCGGCCTCTAGCTTGTGTGCAAACCCCAGGCTCCTTAGATGCTGACCTGAATTTCCTCTAGTTATACGTGGGGACCTCTCTTTTCCAGTGCTCCTGGCTTTAACTATGTTGGGAGTGAGGGGTGAGGGTGATGACCAGCTATATGTGCTTTTTGTTTTCAGATGCAGAGGTTGTGGTAGGAACCACGAGGCCAGAGACGTTGCCTGGAGATGTAGCTGTGGCTGTTCATCCTGATGACTCGCGATACACAGTAATACCCAGCGTGCTCCCTGCTGCCCTGCCTTCCCACCCCCCAAGTTTTGCTCCCCTTCCTTCTAAAGTGGTAGTGCCCTCTTTCCGGCTTCTTTTTTTTTTTTTTTTCCCTAAGACTTCTCTCATCTCAGCTCCCCAGTGGTTCTGAAGCTTCTCCCTTTTCCTCTTGATGTTATACTTCTTCTGTAGCTCAGGGGTTGGCAAGCTGTGACCTGGGGCCGAGCCCACCCCACCTCCTGCTTGTGTGTGCCACGTTCACTTGACACATCGTGGCTGTGATGTACTGTCTGCCCCGCTCCAGTGGAGAAGTGGTGAAGAGACTGAATTTGCCTCTTGACCCACAGTCTAATATATTTACACTCTGGCTCCTTAACAAAAAGTTTTCTGATCCTCACGTGAGCTCTTTACCTTCTAGCTTCACTCTCTTATTCCCAGGCTTCTCACGTCCAGCTCAGACCTTCCCACCCCGCGTATGTGCCTGTCCTCGACCCCTTTCCCTTCCCTTCAGCATCTCCACGGGCGACAACTTCGTCATCCCTTGACCGGGCAGCTTCTCCCCCTCATCATAGACTCTGCTGTTCAGCCTCACCTGGGCACAGGTGGGTGGAGGTCAGGGGAAAAAAAGAAAGTCGGATCTGGGGGAGAGCGGAGGAAACCAGGAGGAGGAGGAAAAAAGTGGGGGAAGGAATCCTCTTTTAGGGTATCTGATTGGGTAGTGGGGACTGAAAGGGAGGCACAGAGGAGAGGGGGTATAGCCGGTGTGGGTGATGGTGATGCTGCTGGAAAAACAAAGCCAAAGGTGAGGTTCAGAGCTTAGCAAGGTTCTGTTCCCCCAGGGGCAGTGAAGGTGACTCCAGCTCACAGCCTGGCTGATGCTGAGCTGGGGGTCCGGCACGGCTTGAGCCCCCTGAGTGTCATTGCAGAGGACGGGACCATGACCTCCCTCTGCGGGGACTGGCTACAGGTGGGACCAGCCTCTGTTACCCTCTCCTTTGGGGGCACCCTCTGCCCTCCTTCTCTCTCCCACTTTCTGGTTTTCCTTTCTGGTTTTCTAACCTTTACCATTGATCTTTTTTTCTAGGGTCTTCACCGATTTGTAGCTCGAGACAAGATTGTGTCTGCACTGAGGGAGCGGGGCCTGTTCCGGGGCCTCCAGGACCATCCCATGGTGCTGCCCATTTGCAGGTATCTTTTAATTCTGTGACTCAGGAACCCTCTGTCCCCCTAAAGGAGTGGGTAATGCACAAGAATGACAACTACCTCGGCTCGGTCCCCTTACCTGGGGTACATGTTTCGAGTACTGAGGACCTCGCATAGATTAGGGTCCTGTGTCCCTGGGAGAAAGGCACAGGGCTGGAGAAACAGTGGCCTCACTGTCTCCCTTCCAGCCGCTCCGGGGATGTGGTCGAATACCTGCTGAAGAGCCAGTGGTTTGTCCGCTGCCAGGAAATGGGGGAGCGAGCCGCCAAGGTGAGGCTGCAGTGCATGGAACAACTGGGGCCTGCAGGGGGCGCACTCCTTGGGAATTGGAGGGGAGAAACAGGAGGCCTGAGGTCCTCCTGTCCCTATGGACCCTCTAACTGTGGTAACTGAGAGGAGAGCTGGGGGGATGGAGGCCAGGTGGTCCAGAAAGGGCTGGCTCTTCACCCTGAGTTTTAGAACCACCTTGGAGGCCACTTGATCCCCCCTGAAAAGAGGGCAGGTGCTGGAAGGGAGGCAGTCCAAAGGCCCTTTCCCTCCAGGCTGTGGAGTCAGGGGCCCTGGAGCTCAGTCCGTCCTTCCACCAGAAGAGCTGGCAGCACTGGTTCTCCCACATTGGGTAAGGGGAAGGGGAGCTGTCATGGAGATGGGGAGGGGGGCCCCCTGGCTATCCTGAGAAATCACTGATGACCCATCGGCAGGGACTGGTGTGTCTCCCGGCAGCTGTGGTGGGGCCATCGGATTCCAGCCTACCTGGTCGTGGAGGAGCGTGCAGAGGTGGGTAGGGGGAGGTGACGGGAGGTGACGGGAGGCGGCGCATGGCAGAAAGAGCCTTAGACAGGAATCAGGCCTTCCCGTGGCAGCCCGGCCACAGGTCTTAGTCATGTCACCTGCTGCTCTGCCAGCTCCTGAGCCTGCGATTCTTCATCTCACTGCTAGAGGGGGCTGGCCGTCCTCAGGAGACACCATGAAGCTCAGTGATGTCTCCCCCTCACTCTCCCACCCTCACTCCTGCAGGGTGACAGAGAGGACTGTTGGGTGGTTGGGCGGACGGAGACGGAGGCCAGAGAAACAGCTGCAGAACTCACCGGCAGGCAAGGGGCAGAGCTGACCCTGGAAAGGGGTGAGTGGCTGAGCCATGGAGGGAAGGCTTCCAGGTCTTTGTGGGAGCAGCTGAGCTGGAGAAGGTAGGGACAGGAAAGTGGGGGGTTGGGCAACAAGCTGACCCCTGGTCTCTGGGGGTGGGGGCCGGGCTGCGTTCTAGAAGCTGAGGTTTCAGTTGTCCTTATTGCTCTTGTGTTCCCAGACCCTGATGTCCTAGACACCTGGTTCTCCTCGGCCCTTTTCCCCTTCTCCTCCCTGGGCTGGCCCCAAGAGGTGAGGTGGCCCAGAGGGGCGGACTGGAAGTGGAGATGATGAAGGGACACCTGGGATGCCCAGTCTCAAGGGGAGCTGGAGGCTTGCACACCACTGCTTCTCTCTTTCTTTGTAGACCTCAGACCTCGCTCGTTTCTACCCCTTGTCACTTTTGGAAACGGGCAGTGACCTCCTGCTGTTCTGGGTGGGCCGCATGGTCATGTTGGGGACCCAGCTCACAGGGCAGCTCCCCTTCAGCAAGGTAACAGCCCCTCAGTGCCCTGCCCCTCTACGGCTCCTCGGTTTCCCACAAATCTTGTCCTGTGTTCAGCCCCTAAAGAGATGCTGTCCATCTTCTGTTTCTTTTTTCTGATTTACTTCACACCCTCACCCCTGAAGCAAGAGGCCTGCAACCCAAGGGGTGCTCCAGGGACAGGTTTTCTAGCCCCACTCTGCTGATCCCCTCCCCTCCACGCCCCAGGTACTGCTTCACTCCATGGTTCGGGACCGGCAGGGTCGGAAGATGAGCAAGTCCCTGGGGAATGTGCTGGACCCACGCGACATCATCAGTGGGGTGGAGCTGCAGGTCAGGATGAAGGGTCCAGGGGGAAATGGGGTTTGTGAGAGAGAGGTGAGAGCCTGAGGAGAGAGGCCAACAGGGAGGGACCAGAGGTGGGACCCCGTAGGGCCAGGGAGACTGAGGTAAGGAATTACCCTTCCCAGGTGCTGCAGGAAAAGCTGAAGGATGGGAACTTGGACCCCGCAGAGCTGGCGACTGCAACCACCGCCCAGGTGAGTCCCAGTGCCTGGGCTGCCCCAGCCTCCTGCTGTGGCCACTGCTTCCCCTGCAGCTGGGGCTTCGGTTCCTACAGCCTCAGGGCATCTCCTGCCCCCTCTTCTCCTTCTGGTTACAGAGAAAGGACTTCCCTCATGGGATCCCTGAGTGTGGCACGGATGCCCTGAGATTCGCCCTGTGCTCTCATGGAGCCCTGGGTAAGGTGGGCGAGGGAGGTGTTGGGGTACCAGAGGGCAGTGGGCACCTGTACAGAGGGGTGGGGCAGGCCCACATGCTGCTACCCACCTGCACACTCCCTCTTCCTTCCCTTCCTCCCAGGCGGTGACCTGCACTTGTCTGTGTCGGAGGTCCTGAGCTGCCGACATTTCTGCAACAAGATCTGGAATGCACTGCGCTTTATTCTCAATGCCCTGGGGGTGAATTTTGTGCCCCAGTCTGCAGCGGAGGTAAGAGAGAAAGAAGAGGAGCTTGGCAATGAGAGGAGTTCTGTCTGAGGTTGAAGGTGGCATCTGGAAGGAAAGGCAGGGGAATAGCCGGGTGGCTCCTGTCCTGAAGCCCCTTCTGCCTGCAGCTGTTGCCCTCATCCCCCATGGACTCCTGGATCCTCAGCCGCCTTGCCTGTACCGCCCAGGAGTGTGAGCGTGGCTTTCTCACCCGAGAGCTCTCGCACGTCACCCACGCCCTGCACCACTTCTGGCTGCACAACCTCTGCGATGTCTACTTGGTGAGTGAGTCCGGGGGAGGGCGTGACATTCCCCAGCTGCAGACCTGCTTCTCCATGGCCTTGAAGTTGGGCTCCGTGGCAGAGAGCTCTAAGTTCCCTGTTGTTCCCTCTGTTGGGGAGAGAGACACATTCCTCTCTTCCTGGGGACAGGTCTCAGCAGGGCAGCCTGGGCCTGCTTCCTGTCTATCACCTGAGGAAAAAGAGCAGGAGGCAGGAGACTACTAGAAAACTGAGTTTGGAAGAGCATAAAAAGGCAGTTGGAGATTCTGTTTCAAATCTGTAACTGCCAAGTTTGGACCCTGGGTGGGTGGCGACCTGTGAACTGACTGGGAGGAAGAACAGCGGTCTTTATTTTTTTTTTTTTAATTTATTTCTTTACACATATAAGAACTGGGGTGCAGACCAGAGGAGGGGGGTGTGTGTGTGTGAGAGGATTCACCAGAGACAGATTAGAAAGCAGAACAGGCAGATCTACTGAAATATGCTGTTGAGGAGAGCAGCAGGGTGAGACAGGAGAGGTCTGCTGCGCCATGTGGGTTAGTTCCCTGGCCTGGGATCTAATTTGTACTGCAGTGGCTGTGGATAGCTTCATAGTGCTGAGACTTAACCCCTTGTGCCACCAGGGAGGCCCAAGAGTAGTGGTCTTTAGACCAAGCCTCCTTACACTTGACCCTGCAGAGTTCCCGGGAGGGCTGCTTAACCCTAGAGCGTCAGGCCCACCCAGACCTCCAGGCGCATTCTGCAGGATAAGCATTTCATTTCTCATCCCAAGTGGTATTGAGGCTTCTGGCAGGACCTCTGTCCTCGGTCACTGTCTCAAACTTTTCAAAAAACCTTTGTCTCTTTTTCTTTCTAAACTACCCAGATTTCCCCATGTTGTTTCCCACCTACCTGTGAGCATGCCTGCCCTGGACTCTTTACCATATGCTCCAGCCCATGATGTCAGAGCTGCTGAGGGCTCCTGCCATGTTTACCCACAGTCATCACCCCCAGTGGGTGCATAGGGAGGCCATGGCCGTGGCCCTGACCCTCTGACCTCCTCCCTAGGAGGCTGTGAAGCCAGTGCTGTTGCACTCGCCCCGCCCCCCGACGCCACCTCAGGTTCTGTTCTCCTGTGCTGATGTCGCTCTGCGCCTCCTCGCCCCGCTGATGCCCTTCCTGGCTGAAGAGCTCTGGCAGAGGCTGCCCCACAGACCTGGTGTTGCCCCCAGCATCTGTGTTGCCCCCTATCCCAGTGCCCGAAGCTTGGTGAGTCATGTGTTCATGGTGCGTAGAAGTGGGACTGCTGGTGAAAGCTGGGGTGCAGTCTCATGACAGGGCTTGTGGCTGTGGGTCATGGACAGCAGTGGTTTGTCCTTGGGTGGACTGTTCCTGCAGGGCTGGGATAACTCTGGGGTCCCCAGAGCACTAGTAGCACAGTGGTCAAGAGCAGAACTGTCCTCAGCCTGACACCAGCCAGCTGTGTGCCTGTGGGTCAGTTTCTTCCATCTTTAAATAGGCGATGGTATAGTTTGTCCCAAAAATCTCAGTGCAGTTTTAAGTTTTAATAACTTAAGGAAGACAGGTGCTACAAATTCACCCAGAAAATCATTTTCAAGTTTAACTATTTAAATTTCTTGTTTACTTATTTGGCTTTATGAGTTGGGAACAATACATCTTTAACTTCAATTTACTTTGGGTCCTTTGCCCTCTTCAATCAGAGCAACTAAACAGGCATCAACCACAGAGCCTCTAAAACTTTCCTAGATAACTCCTGGTGTTTGCCATGTTCTGTTCCTTGAGATGACAAATTTTGTGAGTGGTGAAGAGGCCGGGTCCTGTTGTCCCAAGGAGCCTGGTGGGGCTGCCTAGGGGATCCAGCCAGGGCAGTTGATACAGGTCTCCCAGGACGCTGCTTGTCTGCTCTGTGTCCCTGTCTATAGGAGCACTGGCACCAGCCCGAGCTGGAACGGCACTTCTCCCGGGTGCAGGAGGTGGTGCAGGCGCTGAGGGCTCTCCGAGCCACGTACCAGCTCACCAAGGCCCGGCCCCGAGGTGAGGCGGGTACTAGGTCCTGATTACCTAAAGAAAGAAGGGGCTGCCGGGAAAGAGAAGAGAGCCTGCAGGCCAGGGCCGAGTGTGGGAGGTGCAGGCTGGGAAGAGCTCTGAAGCCTGGGTCCTGATTGCATCCCTTTCCTCCTCAGTGCTGCTGCAGAGCTCAGAGCCTGGGGAGCAGGGCCTGTTCGAGACCTTCCTGGAGCCCCTGGGCACCCTGGGCCACTGTGGGGCTGTGGGCCTCTTGCCCCCAGGTGCAGCGGCTCCCTCCGGGTGGGCCCAGGCCCGGCTCAGCGATACCGTCCAGGTCTACATGGAGCTGCAGGTGAGCAGAGGAGTTGGAGGGGAAAGGAAGGCTTGGAAAGGAAGATGGGAGGAAGGGCACAGATAGATTCTGTAAAAGCGAGGAGGGGTCCTTGGAGCTGGAAGGAGGGAGGTTGGGCAGGCTGCAGATGTATGCGCCTTCCCTTTCTGTTCTTCTGTAGGGCCTGGTGGACCCCCAGACCCAACTACCTCTGCTGGCTGCCCGAAGACATAAGTTGCAGAAACAGCTTGATGGCCTCATAGCCCGGACCCCATCGGAGGGGGAGGCAGAGACTCAGAGGCAGCAGAGGGTGAGACTGGGGGAGGCCACCAGGAAGTCTGCCTCCGAGAGGGAGGAGGCAGAAGGCCTCCTGTGGGCAGGAGGGCTGGAGGGCTGGGCCTCAGGCCTGGGTTCTCACCTGGGCTCTCCTTCTCCAGCTCTCTTCCCTCCAGTTGGAATTGTCGCGACTGGACCAGGCGGCCTCTCACCTGCGGCAGCTGATGGCTGCGTCTCCCTGCCCCAGGGAGCCCTGAGCTCTACCTCGCCTTTCTGGGTGGTTTTCCTCTCTCCCAGACCTGCCGTTGAGGAGAAACAGATATGGCAGATGCCAGGATTCAGGGGCCTCAGAGACCATGGGGCCCTTCCTCACTCCTGTATGAAACAGATTCCTCCCATGCAGTCCTGCCTGGAAATGTAGGAGTGAGAGAAGCCAGATAAACTTAGATTCCCCAGTACTCTGCTTGTGGTGCTTTTGTTTCTCTCTCTCCTTGTGGCGACTTTGTTGCCTCTCAGTGTTCCCTGAGACTGGTTTGGGAACAGAAGAGAGCTGCCTCTTAGATTTGGACCCTGGGCCACAGCGGGAATATGGGTGCTATGAGGGGCCTGTCTCCTTGGAGGAAAGAGGGGCTTTCTAGCAGGGCCTGGGCATGGTGAACCAGTGCTGCCTCCTTCCCGGACAGTGCCGACTCCTAAAGGCCCTTCCTCCTCTGCTGCTCCCCGGATGGAAGTTTCCTGCTCCTTGGCCCTATCCCCTGGGATGCTGAGAGGAGTCGGCACTTCCTCTAAGTTTGAGCGGAGTCCACAGACCAGAGGCACGTGACCAGCCCCTATCGGAGTTACCACCGAGTGCACAGACACCCACCTTTTCACCCTTGACACCTGTCTCATCTTGTTGGAACTTGGGGTGTGAGGCGCCTGCCCTTCCACACCCCAGTTACATTCTGTCTAGCAGTTCTGAGTAACTTCTGTCCATGGCAGACCTGTTAACTGACTGGGTCCATCTGGCACTTTTAAGGCCTCCCGAGAACCTTGTAAGGTGGGTGTTCCATCCATTTGGTAGATGAAGCGATGGGCTGAGAGAATACAAGGTGTCAAGTGGGGTTCAACCCAGCAAGTTATGTGCAAGTTCTTTCCGGCTGCGGACACCAAGCTGCAAGTATAGTGGTGGCTAAATCAGGGCGTTTCTTTTTGCTGGATGGAGCCATGTGGGCTCTACATCAGCAGGGCCATACCTGCTCTGATCCCATTTTCCTGCCATTCTCTGATCACCCCAACTGTGGGTGAAAGGTCCGCTCCTGCTCCTGCTCCCACCACCATGTGTAACACAGAGGGAAGAGGAAGAGGAGGGGATGGGCAGCTTCCCTTTTTTTTTCCCCATTAATTTTTCCCCTATCAATTGCACTTGTAAGTTATTACAAATTCCAGTTGTTTGTCATTACTTAATGCGGCTACTAGAACCTCTAATGTGCCTTTTGTTCTGTCTGTACCGGACATGCAGAAAGGGGAGTGGAGCCTTTCTCTCTTGTACAGAACACCCTCTACCGTGCTCCCCCAGTCCCCCCGCTTTGATGGCTGAACTCTTCACAGGCATTTCCTAGGTGAGGTGGTCCAGCAAATGAATTCTCCCCAATTCTAGGAGTATATTCATTATAGGTTTATGGTAAAAGCTAATTTTTAAAAAGATGTTTCTTTTTAAAAAAATGTCATCTCAAAAACACATCATTAAAATGTTGCTGAATGCCGGGCCTCCCTGGTGGCAGAGCGGGTTGAGCACAGAGCTGTGAAGCTGTCCTCAGCCTCTGCAGAGCAGGTTCAATTCCCAGCTGGCCAGGGAGATACCCACATAGAATGGCAGATCTCTCCTGTCTGGCCCACTGCTCCGCTCTGCAGTGTTTTTGGTCCGTCTGCCTTTCCTGCTCCTGCTCTGTCTCTGGTGAATCCGCTCATCTGCGTCTCTGGCCTGCACCCCAGTTCTTGTATAAATAATAAAAAAAAACTGTGCAACTTCCTTCACCAATTAATGGGGAAAGACATCCTTCCTAAAAAAAAAAAAAATTACTAAATGCCACCAAGTTTACCTTGAAAGGACTTGGCGAGATCTGGGCTGCCTGCATCCCTCTCAGCATTTACTGAGTTAACTGGCTGCATCATGTTTTTAGGGCAGTTAACAACACTAAACGTGTATTGTCAAGCTACAGACAGGAAAGGTACCACTTCTTCAAGGATTAAAATGAAACCCCAGAAAAGGACAGCTTCACCAGCAGACTCAACCCAAACTCACCCACGCAGGGCAACACACACCCCTCTGCCAGCTGCGCCAGGGACAGTGAGTTCTCACAAGACTCTTGCTCACTTCAGAGAAGCAGCATTCACCACATGAGCGCAGACTACGCTGATGCAGACACTCTTGCTACCCAGCTGCAATGTTCAAAAAGACTCAGAGAGGCACCAGAGTTTATGGAAGCATCGCACCCCCGTGTGTGTATCATCTTCCTGGAGAAGGAACCCCAGGATTTCCCCAGACATGAGCTCCTATTGCTTCCCCAAGGTCTGAGGTGAACAGAAACGGACAAGACAGGAGCAGTCATTCTGCCATTTTTCTAGCTGTTAAAGCTGCCATCAAGCCTGGGGCTGATTTCTCCACACTTGTTTAACCTGCCTGTGGGGATCACGACAACTTCTCCTCTGTGATCATCAGTGATTTCAGATTTGCCAGGGTAGCCTTCTTCATTATCACAGTCAGAAACTGGATGATGGCTTTGGAGCATGGTTTCCTGGGAATCTGGTGTTTGCCTCACAGTGTTGTTGGTGCCCTTAGAACATCAGCCAGGGCACTCATGGGCTCCAGGATGGCAACAAAGATGGGGGAAAGAACAGCTTTTCATTCCCCTAGTTCAACAAGTGTTTCTTGAGCTCCTGCTCCACGTGAGGCCCTATTCTGGACACTCGTATTCATCAGTGGGTGAGACCACGATCTCTGCCCTTGGAGGGCTCTCGTTCTAGCAGGGAGTATCAGAAATGACACATGGGATTTGGGTCTGTGTGTGTGAATGGGAGCAGGAGTGTGCAAGACACAGGGCAGGGATACAGGTATGTTAGGGGTCTGGGCAGAACTCATTGTAAAGGAGAGATTTAAACAAAGATTTGCAGGAGATGCAGGAATTAGCCAAGTGGATGTCTAGGAGAGGAGTGTTTCAGGACCAGGGATGAGCCAGGGCAAAATTAAGGTGGGAGCATCCCTGGAGTGCTCAGAGTAGCAAGGAGGCTCATCCTCCTTGATGAGTGAACAATCAGGAGGTGAAGTCGGGCATGAGTGCCTGTCTCAAGTATCCTGGACCCCGAGGGCACTAGGACATATGTTTTGGGCCTCGGTTTCCTCCCTAATGGGAAAGGGGAGTGATAGGGAAGGCTTGAGGTGGGTCATCCAGGGCTGTACTCTCCTTTGCTTACTTGACTAAGTAAAATTGAACATTCAGTTCCCCAGTCACACTAGCCATGTTTCAAGTGTTTAATAGCCACATATGGCCATAATATCTGTCAGCACGGGTTATAAAATATTTCTATGATCATGAAAAGCTCTATTAGAAATACTGGCCTAGGACATTGGAGGCTCTTGTAAGGACCTTGTTTTCTTCCCTCAGAAATGGAAACTTTATTCGGAAGTTGCATATTCCATTTCTACTTGGGTCCTATCAGACAGAAACCTAATCACACAACTATTCCTAGCAGCAAGGGAGGCTGGAAATGAGCCAGGCATGTAGCTAAAATTTACATGACTAAAAGGAGAATGGCTAATAGAAGGCAGCAGTCTCTGCCACCCCTAGGTCTAGTGAACCCCAAAGCATTCTTTGCTGCCATGCTCTGTCTTGAGTCTGGGAAGAGGATTGGATGAGAAAAGAATCTGGAAGTCACAGCCTGGTGAATGCAGGCCTTAAGGCCTAGAACCAGGTTGAGGAGCAGTTATAACTGTCTACTCCTCTTGCCTTTTGGAGACCCAGATAATCAGTCTCCCAACTTGCTTGGGGCCTACACACCAGACCCAGGGGCCTACACACCTGCCCACGGGTGCAGGCTGGGGCCCAGTAATGAAATATTGGGGCACATTGAGGCCCCCAGCCACCTCTGCTCTGAGTTCTCAGTTGATATTGTCAACTGTAAATTTCCTTTACAATTGACAGTTTTAAAGGAAACTAGAGGAATTCTGTTTTGTGGATTTCTCTCTTCACTCTCCCATCTCCCTTGGCGCCCCATCTCCAGGGGTGATCCATATAGAACGGGTGTTTTTACCTGTCTCCAAGGGAGCTGGTCTCGGATTTTCTGTGGTGGTCATGGGGGTGGGTGGGGTGGGAAGGTAGGTAGGGGTGGGCCCCAGGTGCCCCCAAATGGTCGTCTGGGCTGCATGCTTGCATTTAGAGATAATTGGTAAGAAATCAAGACGATCTTGGGTGGGGAGGCAGATGAGTGCTTGTCTCAAGTACCCTGGCCCCCCCAAGGGCACTAGGACATATGTGTTGGGCCTGGGTTTCTTCCCTAATAATAGTCTCTACTGTCATGCCTGCTTATCAGATAGGCACGGTCGCATGTGCCCCATTATAGCTTATCCTAGCTTTGTGATCCCACAACTATCCAAGGAGCAGATAAACAGGGGCTGTAAGAGGCTGAGACACTCACCTCGGACCCAAGCATGACCCCTGTGAACTCAGGATGTCATGGCCCCGCCAGCCCCATCCCTATCTCTCACCAGGCTGTCAACCTTCCTCAGGCTGAGCCCTTCATCTCTCACCTGAGTGTCCTCTCATCCCATCTCCTACCCCGATTGACCTGTGTGACCCTGGGTCAGGGGCCCATGTCCTGGGGGTGTTCTGTCCACATCCCAGCCTGGGGTTCCTGAGTTCCCAGTCCCAAAGCTGAAACAAAGGAAGACGCATTCTTGCGGAAGCCAAGTCGCTTGTCCGGGCTTAGACCTCTCCACTGCTGGAGGCTTCGCCCTCTCTAAGCCTCTGCTTCCTCCACTGGAAGTGCATCATGAGACCTGTTTGTTACATTCAGGATCGCTGCCAGCGCGGGAGTGGGGGAGCACCATACTTGCTACAAAGCAGGGACCCAGCAGGTTTCTTGCCTTTATTTCTGAGTGTTGGGAAGGTGTCAACTTGAGGTGTGTGTTTATGTACATGGGTGTGGTGTGTGTTCACGTATGTGACTGTGATATGTGTGTCCTCCGGTTAACTCCTCACATACCTTGTAGGCCTTTGATATTGGTGTTGAGGGAATGAACGTCCTCACTTGGGGACCCCTCTACTTAACAAAGGGGAGGGTCAAGGACGTGGACATCCAATTCCCTTTTCCTGCCGGCCCTAAGCTCATGAACCCACAAACTCAAGTCATTGAATTCAGCATATTTATTGTCCCCATGCCACAGGAGTCAAAGGGGTGCAGACTGCTGTTGCTCTCAGACTTTGCAGAGGACATGGTGCGGGGACCCTGCGTGATGCAGGGTGACGTTGGTCCCAGTTGGTAGATGGAGAAGGAGGCAGAGCTGGGGGAGAGACAGCGTTAGAGGGGGCCTGGAGGGCCCAACAGGGCAGCCCCAGCCCGCTCAGAAGCACAGTCCCAGTCCTCACAGCCCCATCTTTTCCCCACCCAAAGAGCTACCTTCTCGAGCAATTCCTGAAAGCTGGAATCATATGGGGAATTTGCGAAAAAGGATTCCTTCAGCTTCAGTTGCAGAGTCATTCCTGGCCCTAAGGTCCAAAAGTATAACTAAGGATCCAGCCAGGAGGTCCAGATTCTTTCAGATCTGTGGGATCCCCCTTCCTGCCTTATTGCCCCTCACCCCAGTTCTTCTTTCCCAGCAAGGCCCCTCTCAATGCCTTGAACACTTAGATGCTCAGGACTGGGGCACCCCATGTCTCTTGCTCACATTCTGGTCTTCTCTTGCCACGAGACCCCAGGGTCCAGCCTGCAGCCCTTACCTGTCCCATGTGAGCTGCTGAGGAGGATCAGAAGGAGGAAGAGGGGCAGCCGGGCCCTCATGCTGGCTGCTTTCTTCTCAATGGACAGAGAGATGTCTGGAGACCTGACTGGCCTCTCCTTACCAGAACTCAACCCTTAGCAGGGGTATTTTTTTGGGGGGGTAGGTAGGAGGTGGAGGCTGGATAACTGGATTTTCCAGTTCTCCCAACATGGCTTTGAGGACCCAGGAGAGGGTCATTCAGTGGGCTGTCAGGGATAACAGAGGGTGGTCTCCTTTCCTCAATCCTGGGCCCCACCTATGATTCCCTGTTTCAAGGCTTGAGGGGGAGGGTGCCCTATCCTACAGCGGGAGAGGCTGAGAGGGCAGTGGAGACCAGGGAGGTGTCCCTGCCACAGGTGTCTGGGCCCCACCCAAGCCTGGGCCTCCCAGGGCTCTTTAGGGATTAATTATTAACTGTAATTAATCGCCATCACTCCTGCCACCACAGGGCTCTGGAATGTGGGCCCAAAAGGGAGGGGTGGAGGAAGTCAAGTTTCTTCACAGTCCTGGTATCCTTCTAGGTGAAAAGTCTGGGCAATGGGGAACTTTTGTCTTTGAATGTTTTGTTTCAATTGCTCTAAAAAATCCTAGATACTCAGGTGGAGGCACGAGTTTCGTCAGATATCCTGCCACTCCCCACCCTGGCGCACTCACAGGGACGCAAGCCACCCTCCTCCCAACACCCTTCAGCCGCCCAGAGGCAAACACAAGGGCAGATGCTAGAGGGAGTTTGGAGCCCATCTAATTTACCATCTTTAAAAATTAAGAAACTCCCTATATTCCTGTTACAAGTTTAAAAATGATCAATGATGTAAAAAAAAAGCATTAAAAATAAATTTTAAAAAATATTAAAAAACTAACTCATTTTTTATATCTTTTTAAATTTTTTTCATTTATTAATTTTTTTATTTCTAATATCATTGTTAATTTTTAAACAATATTTGCTTCCCCCCCTCCCTCAGGTGTAGTCCTCATAGAGTTTCCTTCACCAATGCACCCGTGCACCATCAAATCATGGGAAGAATTGAGTTTAAGGGCCTCCTGGGTGGTGCAGTGGGTTGAGCGCTGTGCTGTGAAGCTGTCCGCAGCCTCAGCAGTGTGGGTTCGATCCCCACCAACCGGCAAGACTCCCACATGGTGCCGCAGACCTCTCCTGTCGTGCCTGCTGCTCCCCTCAGCAGTGTATTTCGTCAGTCTGCCTGTTGTGTTCCCCGCTCTGTCTCTGGTGAATCCTCTCACCTTCCCCCGCCTCTGGCCTGTACCCCAGCTCTTGTATAAAAATAAATAAATCTTTAAAAAAAAAAAAGAATTGAGTTAAAGAAAAAACAAAAACTAACAAACTCAGACTTTATTTCTGTTCTTTTCTCCCCAATAAACTTTTTCTTTCTCTAAACAAAACAAAACAAAACAAAAAAACCCAAGAAACTCAGACCCAGAGAGGGAAAATGACTTACTAAGGACACACAGCAAGTCAGTCGCCGTGAGATTAGCGCTCATTCTGCCAGGCAGACACACAGATAAACGCCACATGTGGACACACCAGACAGGTAGCCCCTGAACATAAAGGCATGAGCCCTTGTCTGCCTCTCTGCTCCCTCCAGTCCTCTCCTCTGAAAAGCAGTGTGCTCAGCGCCGAGGGAGGGAGGCAGAGAGAGCACCAGGCAGAGTCAGGGAGAGAAGCCAAAGGTGCCACCAGGGAGACACCAGGGAGCCATTGTTTCCCCCATAAATGCATATGGAGGGAAACATCCAGGGACTCCCAGGCTTGCCCTCCAGGATGCGGAGAATGACAGACAAGGAGTCTACTGGAGGCTAGAGCACAAGTGGGGACCAGAGAGTTTGAGGCATCTGGGCCCTAAGAGGAGAAGGGGGGCACCCTTTCCCAGCTATGGCCCTGCCTCCCCCTATTTAATCATAGCTGACACTGCCACATGCCAGTGCAGTAGAAACATCTCCTTTCCAAGGCTTAAAAGTCTTAAAAGTCCAAGGCTTAAAAGGACCCTTGGACTGGTTTTAGGTGGGCAGCCTCAGTGGGGGCAGGTGCCTTCGGTGCACACCTGGTGTAGAAGTGTGGAATCAGGGCAGTTCGGTTCCAGAGCTAGGATCTCTCCCCAAACATGAGCTGTATCCCCTGGTGCCTCTCATCCCCCTCACCCCTTCTCTGCCAAAGCAATGGAAAACTGTGGGCTGCAGCTGTCTAGAGTGTTCCCCCCCTATCCCCCTGGGTTCTTGAAAGGTTAGAGGCTGTCCCCAGACTACGACACACTCTATCCCCCTAACTCCTGAATCCTCCTTCTTCAAGGAACCCATATGCCCTCACCTTCAATGGCTGGACGTTAGGAGTGATACAGGGCACCAAGGGGCACTAAAACTGGCCAAGGACACTGCCCAAATAGTTTACTGGTCACTGTCTGTGTTCTTCACCCTCGTGCACAATTGCAAGACCACTCAGGCTCAGAGAACAACAATAATGGGATTTATTTTAACAAACCAGGAAAAAACAAAGAGTTACCGAGGCCAAAAATGACCTTTACCTCACCTGAAGCAGTGCCCAGAATTTTCAAGTCCTAAACAAAATTAGCTAAGATGGCATCTTCCTGCCACTTAGGACACAGAGCTCTTCTCCCGAACAACAGGCCACGTGTCCAAGATGGTGTCTTCCTGCCTCTGCTGACCTGGAGCACGGGACAGCCAGATTCTAGGCCAGGTTCCAACTCATGGAGACAATGGAAAACGCGACAGGAGACATTCCCGGAGCTGCCAGGATGCCCCAGCGCAGCACCAGACAAGCGACACTCAAGACAGCAACTGCAGCAGCTGAACCACCTGACAAACAGCCACACTCACGCAGCTCAGTGAGGCGCCCAGCTCTGGCTCTGGGACTTTGCCTTTCCTGCTAGGCTGTAACTGCAGCAAAACTGGGAACAGTTTTACTTGCTCAGCTACTCGCAAAGCCTCTGAACTTTTCCTCTCTGAGGTTAGCTGCTGGAGGCCTCTCCATGTTCAAAGGCCCACAACGGCATTCTGGAAGATCAGTGAGGTAGGGGAGGGGGGTCAGAATTTGCTGACCCCAAATGTTGAAGATCTGAAAACTGCGGAATCCCAGAGACTGAATCAATCCGCACCCCCTTCTGCAGCCCCTTATATTTCTTATCTGTTTTTCCACCCCCAAAATGCTATATTTTTTAGCATTTTCCCGAGGGTTATCTATTCTCACCAGTTTCCCCTTCAGGGAGCACCACTTGTAACAGTCTATAGCATCAGCCACCAGTTACAAGAGGACTTTGGGGTAGGATGGTGGGGTCTCCTCTCTGAGGAGGTTTCTGGGCTGGGGACTGACTCAGGTCTGGGAGGATAGACCCCTAGTCTGGAAGAGCCAGGGGGCCAGGTAGGGGAATCCTCAGGCTCTTCCTCATGGTCCCTGTCACCCAGAGCTTCCTGGGATCAGACTGGGACAGCTTAATCCTCTGGGGACAGCTGGCTCACCTCTCCCTGGGGATGGAGATCCTGTGTTGATGGAGGCCCCGGCACACCTGGCGCCTCTGAGCCTGGTCATAGGCCTCAGAGCCTTTAAAGAGCTGGGGAGTTGGGCTTGGAAAGGCACATCAACTGGTACCATGGACACTGCACTGGTGCTGCTCCTGGGCCTGCAGGCTGCGTTGGGACACGGTGAGCTAGGGGCACCGACAAAGGTATTGGGGTGCAATGCAGACTGTGGGCCCAGGGAGAATAACAACTTTTCTAACTCTGTATTATCATTTTTCTTTTTCCAACAGCTCAGCTGATCCCATTGGGGATCTCTGATTTGGTGTCTGGAGGCATGCACCCCCTCTCTGGGGAGATCGCCACAGGACTCGCACCCATCTCTGGTGGCCTCCCCTCAGTCTCTGGAAGCCTCCCCCGAGTCTCTGGAGGTCTCCCCTCTATTTCTGGAGGTCTCCCCCCTGTCTCTGGAGGTCTCCCCTCCATCTCTGGGGAGATCACTGGAGGTCTCCCCCCTGTCTCTGGAGGTCTCCCCTCCATCTCTGGAGGTCTCCCCCCTGTCTCTGGAGGTCTCCCCCCTGTCTCTGGAGCTCTCACTCCTGTCTCTGGTGATCTCCCCCCCGTCTCTGTGGAGATCACTGGAGGTCTCCCCCCTGTTCCTGGAGGTTTCCCCCCCGTCTCTGGGGAGATCACTGGAGGTCTCCCCCCTGTTTCTGGAGGTCTCCCCCCTGTCTCTGGAGGTCTCCCCTCCATCTCTGGGGAGATCACTGGAGGTCTCCCCCCTGTCTCTGGAGGTCTCCCCTCCATCTCTGGGGAGATCACTGGAGGTCTCCCCCCTGTCTCTGGAGGGCTCCCCTCCATCTCTGGGGAGATCACTGGAGGTCTCCCCCCTGTCTCTGGGGGTATCCCCTCCATCTCAGGGGAGATCACTGGAGGTCTCCCCCCTGTCCCTGGAGGTCTCCCCCCTGTCTCTGGAGGCCTCCCCCCTGTCTCTGGAGGGCTCACCACCATCTCTGTGAGTGTCCCCACAGTATTGCCGAGTTTCTCAACAGTCTCTTTTCCGAGTGGCCCTCAGACTTCAGCTCTGACCATTCCGGGCGGCACTTCAGGAGCAGCCTCAGCGTCACCAGGTGATACTTCGCTGTTCTCTGCTCTCTGAAGAACCCCTCAGCTTGGACTGTGGCTCTGGGCAGCTTCCTGTGCTTGGCTGTGGCTGGTGCTTCCCAGAACCTCGCTGGAGTAGTGGGCTGGCCTCCGTGGCGGTTCAGTTTGTTAAGTTTCTGCTTTTCAGTTTGCTCACTTTTTCCCTGGTGGTTGGTTCTTTCTGTCTCCTGCCTAAGACAATTTTCGCCAACTTTAAGGTCATGAAAATTTCTTACATGTCCTTCTAGCAACTATATTAATTTAGCTTTCAAATTTATGAAATGATGGATCTCAGATTAATTCCTGTGTGTGGAGGGAGGTAGAGGTCAAGATCCCCTCACCCACCCTCCGTGGATAACCAGAGACCAGACCATTTCTTTCGAAGACCTTCCCTGCCCCTCTATCCCCCTTGCCATCCTACCCCC